TGGGGATTGAAGTCTTATTTTTCAATGTACGAGGAAGGTATTCTTTGCTTTTCCTTGCATTTCCGAATTCAATGGACTACTTCCGCGAATACATTAGTTGTTCAATGGCAGTTGTACTCAAGAACAGAGAGCAATGTGTGTGCGTGTGTGTGTATGTATGTATGTAGTGTAGTATATAGTGTATGTATGTAAATATATATAAAGAAGTTCGTTTAACATTCTGATATTTCCAATTTTTATTTTTTTACTAATCGGAATAATATTACCAGTTAAAAAGTATTCTGTGAGAAAAATCAAAACATACTATTGAGAATCAATATTAATTGTTTTAAGCTCTAAATAAACAATGTGATATATCTGTAAATTTTGTCAAGACAAAGAATGCGTACTCTCAACAATTCACATTTACTTATATTTTATGCAGAATCATAGGTTCCTCTTATTAGTCAATGACCGAGTGGATAACCGATAATTCCATGTAAAATTACTGAATGACCGAGTGCAAAAGCATTTTGACATAGGGATACATTTTTGTACTCATCTCTGAAAGTAGTGTCTACTACTTTCTCTACTCTAAAAATCGCCTTTATGACGAAGTACAAACATTAATTTTATTTATGTATTGAACACATTTGTTCCATAACTATTGCTGTCAAATTCATTGGTCACAAAAATTCGTTAGTTATCTTATGTCTTTAAGCCGTGACTGTGTATTATTTGCTCATTTCATCTGTGCATTTTTCTCTATCTAGCTGATAAACCTAACATGACGGTCAAGTAACAGCATAGAATTAAGTGCTTAAGTGTTCAAAAAATAGTTAACAAGACACTAATATACTTTTATCGAAATTAGTGAAGGTTTTCGCGAATGTTTTGCCATTAGAATTATCAAGCTGAATGAGAAACAAAATATTTCACATACGTTTTTAATGATAAAATAAACAAAAGAGGGAAGCACATCACAACTCACAGGATACATGCCACACTTCCTTCAACTGGAGCACTTTCTTTCAATCGCTGCACAACCCAAAAAGATAGACTGCATGCTTAGATATGAAATATGGAGCACAATGTTTATATCCACAACGAACTGTCACAGCGAAGAAAACCATTCATGTCGTTTTCTGGTCAAAATATACATAGACTTTGTTTTATTTTCATGAATTCCTACTCATTGGAAATTCAAATGTATTGTAGTAACCTTGTGTTAACAGCCATTGTTTCACGCACATTGATGGTAGATCCACAGTTAAATAAATAATGATGAATTGTAATAACGGCCATGGGTTTCCCAATACAACTACAAAAATCCTTCATTATTCATATATGTAATAAATAGAACACTAAATGAATAAATAATATACCGTTTTAAAACAATATTTTCCGCGTATTGTTTTTCGCCTGAAGGTATACTGAAATATTGACAATGGGAGAACAAATTGCAATTCGTACTTATAATCTCTCCTTACTCACCCGTGTCCTCAGAAATATTTATATAGAACTGAGAAATATGTGAAAGACAGCTTAATTGTATTTTTCTTTTGCACACTTCGTCTAAGGCAAACACAAAAAATGTGGTATGTTGTAAAAAGTTGATCGGTCTAATCACACGCCCTTAGTCATACTAAATTACTCCTAAAAAAGTGACATTAGTAGCGATAGCTTCGTAAAACTATCCGTCCATATTACTAGCACATACGATGATTACTTGAAATAATGATTCTGGAGCATGCATCTCTGTCATCCTTGTGAACTAACGAAAAAAAAAACTACATATTTTCTTTGTCACAACGCTTTAGGCTTTGCGGTATTATCAAAATATCACGATGACGGCTGAAAAATTGACGCACTTGAAGATATCATCTTCAGCTTCGTAATCAAAGGAGGCTCAAACACAAAACACTGTTTATTTTGTACGAATACAATATATTGTGGAGAACACTTTCGATTTAGCGATGCATGTTTACTTAAAGCCGATGTTAATTTCCCAATGATGACTTAACGCTTTGGAAGCTCGATGATGACATTACTTTTGGTGATTTTTGCACGCAGTCTGCTAAGGTGCAATAGATATATATTTGCTAAACGGATATATTTCGTATAATATTTTCCGCACTGTCCTTGTAGCTCCGCACAATTCCGACACTGCAATTCCCATCCACATACAAAACGCACTCAGTACTCACGGTGTCGTTCATGTCGCCCTCTTCGTCCTCGTCGGAGGCGTTGAACGGCGAAGAGTCGTAGAAGCTGTCCGCGAAGGACGCGTTGGGGGCGTGCATGGCGCTGTCGTCACGGGTCGGCTGGCCGAGGTGTCGCGCAACAGCGTCACCGCGCGTGTGTGTGTGTGTAGGGCGCGCGGCCTACGCGGAGCGCGCGACCGCAGCGACCGGAAGAACGCGCGC